CTACGAGCCGCGCATAATAACGCAGCCCAGGCGCCAGGAGACTGCCGGTAGCGACCAGGCGCGGATACAAGAGGGGGCCATGGGGGCCATGCCCCCCCCTTGGCCGATTTTTTTCAAAAATAAAATAAAAGTTAAAAAGCTGAAAAGGGGGCCTCCTAAATTCCTTTGCTGAGGATGAAATAGAAAAAGCAAAGAAAATGCTGTATGAGCTGTGCCCGGACAAGACCATGCCAAGGATGGTAACAAGGAAGGGGCCTAAGAAAGCAACACAGAATATGGACGATATCGTCAAGTTTGTACATGAGAAAGGCCCAGACCTGCCTACGTTTGTGGCTCATAACTTGCAGGCGCTTCCACCAGTCACATTTAATAGTTTGGACGTGTCGTCACTGCTACATACCATTAAGCAGACACAGGCAGAAGTCGGCCTGTTGAAGGAGGGGCTCAACACCCAAGCTCAGACAATCCGTGACCTGCAATCGGTGCTGGGTGAGCAGACCACTTCCAGGGTGGGAGGTCGGCAAGATCCCACCGGAGCGACGGCTCAAGGGGTGGTGGCCGCAACCCAGACTGAGGCAGCACCTACTTCTGCTCCAAACATCTATAGTGATGCAGGGACGGCAGTCACTGGCCACCTGATTGAGAAGATGCCAGTTGCCATCGAGCGTGCCAGTGAGGCAGGTGAAGAAACTGTGAAAGTGACAGCCGCTCTGGGTTTGGGTAACACAAGTGGACCTCAACAGCAGAGCTATGCGAGTAAAGTGGATGAGTGGAAGAAAATGGAAAAGGTAAATGGTAAACTCAGGGCAATGCCCATGAATGGAGTGGCACATGCAAAGAGTGATGCATCCGGTGGCAAGCTGAGACCAGCTGGAAAGAGGCACGTAAGTGGCTCTGTGAAAGAGTCTGGTCTAACAACGGTGAAGAAGGTGGTGAAGGCTAAATATGCCAGTGTCTTTGCTTCTCGTTTTGATACCAGTGTTAGTAGTGACATGCTTAAAAGGTATCTGGAGGAGAGACTTCATCTGGAAGTGAGTGTTAGCCCAGTTAAAACGAGGTATGATACCTATCACTCCTTTCATGTCATGTGTGAATGTGTAAACCCAAAGGTGTTCATGGATGATGCAGTATGGCCAGAGGGAGCTTACGTACGCTGGTGGAAGGGCAGTTTTATGGGTGGGGATGGAGACTCATCTCACACGGGAGGAAAGTAGACAGTCTTCAAACACTTAGAACTTTTTTTAGAACTTTTAGAACTTTTTTATTCTTAGAGTAGTTTTTTTATGCTGCAACTTAGTTTTTACAATTGTCATGGTTTTCCAAGGAACAGGAGTGCACTTTCCCTTCGTAAGGATATGGAATATTTGCTTGAAAGGTCAGATATGATATGTCTACAAGAAACTTGGTTGTTTAAAGAGGATTTGTGTAGCCTCAATAATGCACACCCAGACTTTGTTGGTTTTGGAACAGCTACTGCTGACTTACAGAGTAGACTGTGTACTGGGCATGCTCCTGGAGGAGTTGCAATTCTATTCAAACAGTCTCTGCAGAGCTGTATCGAACCAGTTCATTTTGAGGTTGATTGGTGCATAGGAGCTAAAGTATCCATTGACGACAAACAGTTCTTTGTTCTTAGTTTGTATTTGCCTTATCAGTGTGTAGAAAATGAATTAGACTATATCGAGAAATTAGGAGAGCTAAGTTCCATAATAGAAGGGATAAGCTCAACATCATATATCCTTGTAGGTGATTGGAATGCAAATTTAGGACGGACAGGACAAGCTATGTTTGCAAAGTATATGATTGAGTTCTGTGAGGAGCATTCACTCATAAACACTAGTCAAGCGCTATTGCCTTCAGATAGCTTCACTTTCGTCTCAAGTAGCTGGGGAACTGTGTCCTGGCTAGACCATGCAGTGTGTAGTGCGGACATGCACAGGATCATATCATCAATTGAGATAGGATATGGCATTGCTCAAGACGATCACATGCCTGTTAGTGTAAATCTGAATATACCCAAATTGCCTAGTCATTCGGAGAGTAAGATGGCTGGAAGTAAGAATGTTGATTGGGATAGAGTAACCAAACAGGACATAGCGAGGTATAGAAATGCTACAGACCATTATTTAAAGAAAGTGAAAATCCCACAGGCTGTGAAATGTGCAGATGGAAACTGTAAAGAGGTAAATCATGTACAGGACATATTTGTGTTGTATGAAGGAGTAGTGAATTGTCTCAGCAAAGCTGGGCAAGAGCTACTTGCGGGAAGGAGGGAGAATGGTGCTCAATCTTCCAAACCTGGCTGGAATGACTATGTTGAGGAGTTATATGAGATATCAAGGGAGAATTTCATTGTTTGGAAGGAGGCTGGTAAGCCGAGACAGGGCCCCGTTTATGAAGCTCACAGGGAGGCCAAGGTTAGATTTAAAAGTGCCTTGAGATATATTAAGAAGCATGAAAATGAGTTACGCAGGGAAGCATTGGCCAAAAAGTTAGTTGAGAGGGACACCAAAGGTTTCTGGAAGGAAGTGAGGGTAATGAGTGGCTCACAGGTACCTAGACCTACTATGATGGAAGGGGTACGTGGAGAAGAGGATATTGCCTCTTTATGGAAACAACATTTTCAAGATTTGTTTAACTCTGTTGTGAGTAAGATGGATGAATTGAGTGAGGATATTTCAGGGGACTGCGAAAGTGCTCTCGTATCAGTAGATGAGGTAGATGCTGCCATCAGGGAGCTAGCTATAGGTAAATCGTGTGGTTTAGATGGGATCTCTGCTGAGCATTTAAAGAATGCGTCAGGTCGAATTGTACCTCTACTGAGTCTGTGTTTCACAGCCTGCATGGTTCATGGAAAGTTGCCAGATTCTTTGATGAAAGTAGTTCTAGTCCCTGTGATAAAGAATAAGGCTGGTTCCATCAGTTCGATGAATAACTACAGGCCAGTAGCATTAGCCAGTATCATCAGTAAGGTGTATGAGATCATTTTGCTCAAAAAGTTAAAACCTTTCTTAGGTACTCAAGATAATCAATTTGCTTATAAAAAGGGTATGGGAACAGATCAATGTGTATATGCTCTAAAGGAAGTTGTGAGTATGTATAGATCTATGAAGGGCAATGTGCACTTATGCTTCCTTGATGCCAGTAAAGGTTTTGACAGAATAAACCACAGTCTACTCTTTGATAAGCTGAACCGCAGGGGAGTACCAGCATGTTTAGTTAGAATATTGTCTTTTTGGTATACTATAGTCCGTTTTTCTTAAGTTTGCCCCTCACTGTAAACGTCTCTTTGAACACAGCACGAGAATTGCTCGCTGAATTACTGAGAAAACGGGTTAGCGCACATTGTATTGTAGATATGAATAATATTTTCAAAAATAAGTTTTGAACACCGACGATTTAATGTTATGTTAAGCGCCGTGCAATTTATTTATTAGTTCAGACATAATTCCTGAGAAGTCGTCTATACCTGTGGGGCTGTAGGTATTGGCAGATACGATTTACGAGTCTGTGAAATAGTAAATGAATTTGATGAAATTGATCGTCTGTGAAATCTGGGTTAATCAGTGTGCGCCAACCAGTTTTCTCAGTAATTCAGCTAGCAATTCTCGTGCTTTGTTCAAAAAGACGTTTACAGTGAGGGGCAAACTTAAAAAAAAACGAACTATAGTCAAAAGATGTGTGTGAGATGGGGATCCACATATTCAGAGTTCTTTGGAGTGTCAAATGGTGTAAGGCAGGGAGGGATTCTGTCCCCATATCTCTTCAGCGTCTATATGGATGACCTGAGTTCACTGCTCAATAGGTGTAGTACAGGCTGCTATATTGGAGAAAGAATTGTAAACCACTTAATGTATGCAGATGATCTAGTTGTGATGGCACCGTCCAGTGTAGGATTGCAGCGTTTGCTTAATGTGTGTACTGAGTTTGGAATATCTCATGATGTTAAGTACAATGCCCTAAAGAGTTGTGCAATGTGCTGTAGTTCAGATTTTCTGCGGAATGTACGAAAACGAGAGTTTTATGTGGGAGGGGTGCCGGTTGCCAATGTAGATCGAGTTAAGTACTTAGGTCACTACATAACTGATAACTTGTCCGATGATGCAGACATAGAGAATCAGACTCGTGTCTTGCTTCGCCAAGGGAACGCAATGTTGAGGAAGTTTCACATGTGTAGTACTGATGTAAAGATGAAATTGTTTAATGCTCATTGTAAGCCTATGTATTGTTCGCAGTTGTGGTGGTGTTTCAAAAAAGGAACTATGAAGAGGTTTGTCACTAGTTATCATAACCTTCTTAAAAGGACCTTAGGGCTATCAAAGTTTGAGAGTACCAGTGCTACCTGTGCATACTTTAGAGTACCCTCATGTGAGGCTGTCATTAGAGGCTTAATATATAAATTCATGAAAAGGGTTGATCTGAGCAATAACGGTATCATGGCAGCTATATGTTGGAGCAGTTTGAGGTACCAGTCAAGGATCAGGAGGTCATGGCTGGGAAGGCTGTATACAAGGGCAGACATGGATGTCACCTGACTCCCCTGTGTTTAGGCTGCAGTGTGTGTCTTTTTTAGCATGTGTGTTTGTGTGTGTTTTTATGATGTGAAGGGTTTTTTATGGACCAGTATGGTCTGGAATAAAGTTTTGTCTGTCTGTCTGTCTGTCTGTCTAAAAATAAAGTGGCTATTCATGTTGAGATGTTGCCTGAACAGCTAGATAAGCTCAATAGACGCAGTTTTTTTTGGGGGGGGGGGGGGCAACAAGTGGGAAGATGGGGCCTCCTGGTTTCTAATGGCCCCTCCCTTGGAGATTTTCTGGATCCGCCCCTGGTAGCGACAGAGCTGCTAGAATTCGAGCAGTTTTGTCGCCGAACTGATGGAGCCATCGGGCTCGAAGGTAGTGAGATGATAAGCCAGCCTTGCTAGGGAATATAGCGCGACGTTTTACCGATGGTGGGCTGTGTGCAGCTCCATCGTTCCAACATTAGCCGGCGCCATCGGGTTACCGGCACCGTCCATGAATATTCAGCGCGTTGACCGGGCGGCGGCGGGCTGACGCCGATCAGGGTCGACACAGCGTCAGGATCAATTGCGGCAGCCGTGGTAAGCGGGAAATATAACCGGTCGGTGGGGTGGGATGGGAGGACTGGGAAAGAGAGAGAGAGAGAGAGAGAGAGAGAGAGAGAGAGAGAGAGAGAGAGAGAGAGAGAGAGAGAGAGAGAGAGAGAGAGAGAGAGAGAGAGAGAGAGAGAGAGAGAGAGAGAGAGAGAGAGAGAGAGAGAGAGAGAGAGAGAGAGAGAGAGAGAGAGAGAGAGAGAGAGAGAGAGAGAGAGAGAGAGAGAACTGTGGGAGGTGGGAGGGGAGTGACGGTGACCGGATACTGGGCGGAGAGGATCGAGGGTAATGGTCCGTGATATAGAGGCGTTAGGTGATGATGGTGTGACGATCGCTGGAGAGGGGTGTGAAGAGTAATGATGGGTGCAACAGAGGTGCGATGAAGGGTGTGAGAGGGTGCCACGGAGGGTGTGGGAAGGGTGCAGTCCATGTTGATGGAGAATAATGACAGCCGTATCGCTGGTAATCATTGCCGTCCCACCTTACCTAAGCCATAGATCTCTGTCTACATACAGAGGTCTATGCCTGAGCATATAGCCAATGGCCACAACTGCACAAGCGCCGACTGGCCGACCGTCTGGGACTGACCTGGTGTAGAGTCCTGAGGCTCCGGCTCGCTGGCGGCTCCCTCTGTGCCGGTACCGGCCGCCGGGTACTGGCTGCTCGTCTCGCGGTCGGCGGCGGCCGCGGACGGCTCGGGGCCGGGGGACAGGCGGGTCGCCGGTGGCACGGACGGGGCCGGCGAGGCGCGGCGCGCAGCCGGCTCCAGCCGAGTCACGGGCCGGCTCAGGTCGGGGGCGGACTTGGGCCTCCCTCTCCGTCGCTGGTCGACCAGGGGCGCCGAGGACATGAGGTCCCACTGGCGCAACTCCTCGCGGTCAATCTCGAACGACGGGGGGAGGCCATCGCCTAAAAAAGGCTGGCTGGCGGCAGGCTGGGCGGCGGGGTGGCCGGCGGGGAGGTTGGCGGAACGGACCGCGTTGTTGGGCCGAAACTGCTCCTCGCGGTCGTCCCAGTCGTACTGTTCGAGGTAGGTGCGCCCGTGCTTGGCGCGCTGCAGCGTGTCAGAGCGCTGTGCCAGCCGGTCGTAGCGTACGTCGTCGCTGGAGAGACAGCTGGCGCGCTGCTGCTCCTGGAAACGCTGCCGCATCGGCTCGTTGACGTAGAGCGCGCCGCGTGCCAGCCGCGACCCCTCCGGTGCCGGCTCGGCCAGGCTCTCCATCGAATGAGCGTGCCGCAGGCTGGAGTGGTGCACAGAGCTGTGCCGGGTCCGCTCCGACTGCCAGCCATCCCCGACGGTGGCGCCGCCGCGGTAAGCGTCAGTCCCGTGAGCGGCCACTGGCGGCGCCACTGGTGAGTCTGCCGGCGGAGGTGCTCGGTAGGGCGGAGGCTCACCTGCTGACCGAGCCAGCTCAGAGCGCGGCAGGGGCATGGGCGGCCGGTCCTCGGGCCGGTACGGTGCCGGCTCCACCCTGGGTGTGATAGACCGCCGTCCGTCCGCACGGTTTGTCGCTACAGGCTCGTTCCGCCGTGATGTCAACACATCGGGAGTATGTGAGCGCGGGCGTGAGTCGTGAACAAACTCAGCCGCTGAGCCTGACGATAAAAAGTCGGGCGTTCTCGAGCGTCGGAGAGCGGCGCGGTCTGCAGAGCCGGATCCCTCGCGGCCACCGTTTCTCGGCAGAGGTGGCCGACAGCGGGGTGTCTCTTCTAACAGACCCTCTAAGGAACGTGTGCGTCGGTGGTGAGACAACGGTGGCCCACCCGGGTCGTCATCCTTCAATCGCAGCCCGTCCGGGAAGATATTCCTCACCGACTGGTCGATCGCATCGGGTGTGTGCGAGCGCCGTCGAGCCTTCTTCAGTGTGTCCGAGTCGTATACGTTACGTTCGTCCACATCGGACCACTTCTGAGCCTCCAAATATTCCACTGAATTCCGTAACTGAGCGGCGAGTCTGCCCACCTGCGCCAGTCGGTCCTCAGGAGAACTGATCTGATTCACCTTACGGCCGATGTCAGCTCGTTTGCTGGCGTCCAGTTCCCGCTGGTTGTTGAGTTTGGGCCGTGCGCGGACTGGTCGCTCCTGCAGTGCAGCGGCCGCCGCTAGGTCTGAGTAGTAGTATGGCGCGCGGCCGTCAGAGCCTGTGGATGTCGCTGAGTTCACTGAGATGTTCGAGCTGCCGCGCCGGTGATCAGCCACCAGCGGGCCGGGGGCTGGGGCCGGTGACAGTTGTGTACGCGGCTGACGCGGTCGGGCGCCCGTCTCCCGCGGGGGTGCCGGAGCGGGCGCCGGCGCTGGGACTGCAGCGGCCGGAGTAGGAGGAACACCGGGCGGTGGTGGCGCCGGCGGCCTCTCCGGCGGCCTGTCTGCCGCTGCGGACAGGTCGTTTTGGAAAGTCCGAGCGAAGTCAGATTGGAACTCTGGACTCTTCACTGGTGTCAACTCGATGGAGGTGAGCGAGCTGAAGCTCTCTCGCTTCGTGGTTGGAAAGTGCCCGCCCTCGCTCGACGCCACTGACATGAGTGTGTGGATGGACACTTCTGATGGCTTCCTGGTGCGTGGCGTTGGAAGATTTTCATAAGTCTGGTGAGCGCTGACAGCGGGTTTAGCAGGCAGTGCCGGCGGCACCGACTTCTGCAACGAGAGCGGCGACGACATGGTCATGTATCCGCCGTTGTCCTGCGGAGGATACTGTTCCTCGGAAAGCAGCGAGCGCGGCTGCGGTTCCAGAGGCGCACCGCCCGGCGGGTAGCGATCCTCAGAGCGCAGCACGTGAGGATCCTCAGCTACAGTCATCAGCGCCATCTCATCCACCACCGGGCGCCGTTTGTACTTGTCATTCCGCACGCTCTCCACAGGTGGCGCTGCATCCGGTCTAATGGTCACACTGTCCAGTGAGCCAGAGTCCTGAGAGCGGCGTGAGACAATATCAGCTGCCAGCCGGGCCAGACTGTCCTGACTGGAGGCCTGGCTGGAGAGAGAAGCCGGCCGCTCACGGGGTAGCTCAGTCACCACCTGCTGACCTCCCACTGAGGTCATCTGGGCTGAGTGCGCCGCCAGCAGAGCGTTCAGCAGGTACGGCGGCGCATCCGACTCACCAGTCCCGTCGTAACTGAACTGTCCGCTGGTCGGCTCGGTTGGCTGGAGCTCGTCCATCGGCGGTGGGGACATGGGGATCGGAGGCGGGGAGACGAGGTCACTGTCGGATGAGTCAGCCTGTTCGCGATCGTCATGCATCTGTAGGTAGTAAGAGGCAGGACGGAAGGTGTCTGATAAACTAAACCGGCGGCTGCGCGGCCGCTCCGGCTCCTTAGAACCCTCATCGTCCGCATCAGATGCCGAGCTGTCGGCCGAGCTCGACTTCTTCTCCGTCTTTCGCTTCTCGTTCTTCAGCTTCTTGCCGCTCTCTGCCTTCCGTTTATTGTCTACTTTGTTCTCTGCGGTCGGTGTTTTGCTCGGGCTCGGCGTGGCGGCGGTTGGGGTTGTGGTCGTCGGCGCCGCTGATGATGTTACAGGAGATGCTGGACCGGCAGAGTCGCCGTTCTCTGAGGGCACCTCCATGTAGACAGGCTCTCCCCTACCGGCCGGCGCCATGTACTCGTAATGCACTTCTGAGTATTTGTTCGATTCAAGAAAGAGACCATGATTGGAGAGCTTCTTGAACATGCTCTGTGACGCCTCGAAGCTGAGGTTCAGCACGTTGGGGTTCATCTCCATGTAGGTGCCATCCTGCTGAGAGCCTGCAGCCTGTACCGGGGGTCGGAGAGGAGGCGGCAGCGGCGGCGGTGGAGGCGGAGCGGCAGGTGGAGGAGGCAGACTCGCGGCCGATGTCTGCCGTGAGTGTGACGGTACCGGCGGGGTGGGCTCAGACAGCGCCTCCGCCGGCTTCCGTGGAGGGCTCATCACCAGGTACTGATCCTCGGCGGAGGTATTGAGCATCAGACCGCCGCTCGGTAGCTGATTGGCGTAGATGGGTGATGATGACGGCGACGGCGCTGGAGGCCGCGCTGGTTTGGGAGGTACAGCCGGTGGTGAGCGCGGCTCCTCAGAGCGCCGTGAAGACTGACTGGCAGACGGTGACGGAGCTAACACAACTCCACCATCTCCAGGCCCGAAACGTGTTACCGCCATACCGGAGTTATCCACAGCAGCAGGAGGGTGAGCCGCAGCGCCGGCCGCGGGGGACACATCACGGCCGTTCCTGCGCGGCTCTGGCACTAACGAGGAACCGTGAGGGTCCCAGTGAGCGGCCGGCGTTGTCCGCGGCCCGGACGGCGTCCACGGCGTGGCGTGGGGAGATGGCGTATTCCACTGTCCGTCCGTCGGACCCGGAGGACTCCAGTGGCTCTCTGATGTCCCCTGAGTGTCCACACGAGTCTCCGCCGCGGCACTTCTGTCCGCCGATCGGCGTAGGTCTCCCAGAACTCCTGCCATGCTGAGAGACGACGGCTCTGAGCCTGCCCTCTCCGCGTCACCGGCGTCAGAGTCGCTGCCTACTCGCCGCAGATCGTGTGAGGTACTCGGTCGGCTTGGAGTCCATTCGTGACTCAGCTGACCACTCTCAAATTTAGCCAGTAGGTCCTCAACTGATGTGTTGTGAGGCTCGCTAGGCGCGTGCGGCTCGTTATGAGAAGTGTCGTTAGCTGAGGCGACTGACCGAGGTTCTGGATCAGTGGGCGAGTCCTCGTCTAATGCAAATTTCCTGAGATTGCTGCGCGACTTACGCGAGTCGATGATGTCCTGCGGGCTGCGGATGTCCCGCAGGTCGAGGCTGTTGGCGGGGCTGCCTTCTGAGTAGGTGAGTGACCGGTCGGCTGTCTCCTCCTGAGACCGAGCCTCCCTGCCGCCAGGACTGCGGCCTGGGCTGCGTGCCGTCTTTGAGGATGAGTTGAGGCTGCGGATGGTGGTCACCTGAGCCTCAGAGGCAGTGACAGTGGTGGCCTCCGTCTCACGGAAATCGATCGGCGGCATCTTCAGTTGCGAGACCTGCGCCTCGGCCACCTCAGCCTGCGTCTTCATAGGTCTCAGCGGTCGCTCTAGCCTCTCATCCTCTGCACCAACACTATTGCCTGATTCATCCAGGCGACTCTTGAACGCCTTGATCCGCTCCTGGACGAGATTCTTCGGCGGAGTTTCACTCGGCTGGCTGGGACTCTCCGCAGCGGCCGCGGTGTTCTCCCTCGGCGCCTGAGAGCGCTTCGGAAGCACCTTGGGAGGCACCTTGGCCGCGCTCGGCGGCTGCTCCGGCTTCACATACTCGTAGCTGAACTCCTTCACCAGCCGCGACTCGTCGATCTTGTCGCCATCATCGTGCCAGTCAGCAGCCGCCCAGCCGCCACCACCACCGGCGCTCCGCCTGCCGCTCTCCAGCGGTGCCGAGCGGCGACTGGCGGAGGCGCGCCCGTTCTGAGCGCGAGCCGGAGCCTCGTCCCCGGTCATATCAGCTCGCAGTGTGTCGTACCCGCTGTCCGAGTGTTTGCCCAGTGAGGCGTTCTCCGGTCGGCGCAGATCAGTGAGAGCAGCCGCCGCCTCCAGCTCACGTGCGCTGACGAGTGGTGGTGGCAGCTCGTTGGAGCTGGGGGCCATCGCGCGCCGCTGAGCGGACACCTTCTCCTTGGCAGGGTAGAATCGATCGTAGTTGTGTAGCTCGTGGTGGTACTTGTCCTTCTGTGAGCTGTACTGGCTGTGCGCCTGCTGGTAGCCGTCCGGTGCCAGCGTGCCGGCCGATTTGTCGAAGTTACGGAAGTCGGCGTTCGTTTTCATGCGCGGGTGGTGGTCGTGGCTGCTGGCGGTGGCCCGGTTGTCGGGTTTGTGGGGTGTCGGGCCGCGCCACGCCTCTGCGGTGGGAGACGTCACACTGGCCGGCCACGTGTCCGGACCCGGTGACGACACACCGGCGCTGTGCCATGATTCGTTGGAGGGTGACGTCACACCTGAGGCCGGCCACTGCTCGTGCGCGGGAGACGTCATCGCGGTATTCCACGTCTCGCGGTGAGACGGCACGACCGGCACATGCCGTGCAGCAGGGGATGGCACCTCGTGGCGGCCAGACCACGGATCGGCGTCGCCCATACGGTACGACAGGTTCACGTAGTCTTGTGACGCCGCCGGCGGGGGTGAGAATTCCGCTTCCCTGACATCTGTCAAAGAGAAGGCGAGCTTCAGGATTTCATCCCTGATGTCATGTCAAGGGGAGCACGTCGTTCCACCAAAAGGAGCAGTTGAAGGGAGCTTCAAGCCAATCCGTCTGCCATGTTAGTAGATTAGTTTCATTCCATCTTGACCATCAGAGTTCCCTCCAAGCCGCAGGGTTGGTTGGAAAGCGCCGTGTCACCAGATTGTCGGATTAGTTGAAAGAAGCGTCAAGCAGCCTCATTCGCCGAGTTAGTTTCGAAGACTTCATGCCGTTCCGTTTTCTTTCCAGATGTTGGTTGGTGTTAGTAGAAATGCAGCGAGGGCACGCATCGCACTAGCTACACTTCCAAAGATAATTGAGCGCAAGCTTCCAGGATTGCAGCCAGGAACCCACCACCACTCTACACTAAACCGTCGGCAGGTACTTCATCATCTGTAAGCTGATGATTAATAGTCGCACTTACCTGGTTTAGGAAAATATTAAACAAATAAGCTTTTTCGATGTCATTGACATGTAAAAATCGTCCTTGTCATGATGCAATGAAAACGATTAAAATGCAGCGTAGGTAGTTGTTTTGAACATTGTTTGGCACCGCAAGTTCCGTCTTAGCGGGAACTGCATGTCATACCTCGTAATCAAAAACACTAATGACGCAAGCTACCGAAACTTTTTCGTCCCGTGTAAATTACTATTCATTCAAACCACTGCGAGCTGATGTATATCATCAGCGTTTTATAGCCGGAAACTCCAGTGCCATGGCACAAAGCAGCCAACGACGGAACGGAGAGAGAAAAACCACCGATCGTTTCGATTTCTGCTTCCCACGTATCAGCCGTCCGGCCACAGACCGGTCCATGAGAGCCGACAGTCACGTGCTCTTTGTGAGGCGCCTCCCACACCCAGCCCACGCCCGGTTAGTGGAGAGGTCCAGTCAAAACTACCACCGCGCCCACAGCGGGCCGAGCTGGTTAGTTAATGTAGGTAGGCAGGTTCAGCAGTTTTATACAGCGGAAACTACCAAGGTTCCAGAAACCAAACGAGCGTCAAAGCTGCTCAGCTAAGGAGGTTATTGGTTAGTATCCGCAACCGAGCATATGTTACACGGGTTACAGTAGGGAACACAATGGGGAAAAAAACATTGGGAACACACAGTACACCTCAATCGACAACAGAGGTAGCTCGCGAAACAGCTCCCTCCTGGCTCCTACCCTCTCCCGTCCAAGTCACACGATCACTGAGAGCCCAGTCACGCCAGGCGTGTCACGCGGCGTCAGGAGTATCGTGTCACCGCACTGCCGGTGTCATGACCGGCGTGTCAATGCCCTGTCCGGTGTCACGACACCGGTGTAAGTGCCGCCCGTGTGGTATTGGTGCTAAGGTGTGCTCGTGGTGAACGCGATCTAAAGTTGACAGTATAGCGAGTAACGACTGGGACGGTCAAAAGGTAACCGGTTTGCATTCAGCAACGCCTACAAACACGGAGAGATGGTATCGGCCCGGAAACGGCCGGCGACTGCCGAAGTTCCTCCAGCATTGAGCAAAGTTCCGACTCCCAACCATCCCAACCAGTGCCGTCAGACGCCCTTCTGTTGGGCGCGGCACGGCGCAGGTGGGGACGGGTGGAGAAGGTCGGGACGGGATAATGAGAGGTCAGATACCCGCCACGGTCCGTCGGCCGGTACCAGCGTGGGATGGGGAACGGTAGATAAGAGTGAACGGACCTCCCACGGCGCCGAACGGGTGGAGCACAGACAGACTTGGTTAGAGCATCGATCAAAGATACAGGCTGTCAGCTAAGGAGCGAGGACTTGAATTAAATACGGAACTAAAATATGAGGCTCCGCTAAATGTAATCGAAGCTGTACGGGCCGAAACTCTTGATTCCAGAAATGGATGAGCGACGCATATAAGGATTTCTGTCTTTCTTCAGCCTTGTGTGATATTCACCGCATAATCTAAACATGTTAGATAACCGAATGAACAAGTCGTTTGTGATAAATGACCCTTGAGTGTTGACAGATAGGTTATCAAAAAGATCCATATTTGATCGGGGCATTGATTAATTCGTCCCTCCACCAGATGTATGATTTGATACGACGGTGGTGAGATCGTTCCAACATTGATGAATCGGCTGCGTGTTGTATGCTCCTCACTGGGTGGCTTCCCCATTCCCAATGTCTGTAGTCCATCTTCTTTTGGTCGATTTTTTTCGCTTAAATAATTTCGATGTTCTTAGCTTTTGTGAATGCACTGTCTGTGGCGTAAGGGGCCTATGTAGGACCGACAAATCATGGGTGCTCAGCAGACAACGTACCTCTGCTGTCCGCCTCAGGCAGCCCGTGAACCGTCTGAGGCCGCGGGGTCCTGTTCCCCTCACTCCTCTCTAGCTCCTGGCGCACTCTCCTGGAACAGAGGGACCCGGTCAGAGCGAGATAGGAGCTCTCCTAAAACGGGGGACACGGTCGGGACGTGACAGAAGCTCTCCTGGAACGGAGGGCACGGTCAGATCGTGATTCGTGACAGGAGCTCTCTTGAAACATGGGATCCGGTCAGAGCGTAAGAGGAGCTCTCCTGAAACGGGGATTCAGTCAGAACGTGACAGGAGCTCTCCTAAAACGGGAGGCTCAGTCAGAGCATGATAAAGCATATCCAGCTAGTCAACATTTCACAGTCAAAAATGTCCCTAAAAGAAGCAGTCTCTCACGGCACGGTTTGGGCACGGTTCGAACTAGACGTGTCTACTGTCTAGCCCTTACAGGTTAACAAAACAAAAATTTAGCTCTGAAAACAACGTAAGGCACTTAAAACATACCAGAGTGTTGCAAACAACTCATTTCGCTATAAACACCACGATTGTGGTGTCCAGATTTCCTGTTTACTCTTCCCCATCTCCGATAAAGATCTCACACAACAAGGTCGGACAGACACCTGTGAGCTGATCACCACGAACCGTGCCCAAAAGGCACTCGTTGGCGTAAAAGCGCCAAGGTCGTCAGGTCACCCGGCTTCAGAGACGCGCTGCAGGTGGTCGCCATGTCCTCCCGGCATTATGAACGGCCCGGGTCGACCTTGTCGGTCACAACTGACGTCTGAATCAATCACTGAGGGCCTTGGCGTCTGACTCACGACCCGAGTTGCTCTTAGCGACAGGCCTTGACGAGTCGCTTAGAGTCGCTCGCTGAGGTCGGTTATGTGGTTTCGGAACGGGCGCACAATGACGGGGTGAAGTCCTCCGCAACGCCGCCACAATTACACACTTTCGGACGGAAGTGGCAGCCGAGAGGAAAATTCTTCGCAATCATACGAGTAAATAAACACTGCACCTTGTTACCACAGCGAGCGGTTTACCCAACTGTGGGTCTCAACCGGCCGTGTGCGAGTGTTCTTCACGCTATAGTAGCACACAATGACAATGCGCAACTCACAACCACGGATCATATTACATATGACTAGTCAGCATTCCCTGATCAGAAATGGGACGATAATCGCATATCGTAATGACCAGGGAACATATCTCGCATCTGGTCTCGGAACTGGCTTTACCTATTATTTTGACCCGTTGGATAATATCTCACCTTTTGTACTGATCAGGGGGGAAGCGGGCAGCGGCGTCCGTCAGCTTGGGTGACTTTCTGGTCAGCGGCGACTGCAGCATCCTCTGTTTCCACTCGAGCAGCCGCTTCATCGACTCCTCGCGCTGCGGCAGATAGTTCAGACAGGTCAGAGGCGGCACGACATATCGTTCAGATAGGTCAGATGAGGCACGGTGGACAAATTGCACAGTTCAAAGGCGACACGGCACACAGCTCGAGCGGGACAGTGCAGCGGTGGCGGGCGAGCCAGGGTCGGGACGTTGAACAGAATAGCGGCAGATTTGAACAGACATAAGGTCGAGGGACAGGTCAGAGGCACAGGCTTACTCAAGTCATCCGGCGGTGTAACTGTCGGTTCAAACCGCTCAACAGTCAGTGTGTGAACAGAGCGAGCGGTGACAGACGCATGATCTGTTACCCAGCTCTCAGAATGGATATGCCTGCCGTTCACAATTCGCTACATTGTCGATCATTTATCCAATAGATAAATTACGGCTAATATGAATAAACAAATATAATGATTTTAGATGACCTTCGTGAACCACCATTCAGATAGAATAAATAATTCATCATCTACGGTGTAATATCATGAATGAAGAGGTGCGTGAATAGATCGATCATTGACACAAAGCCATTCTTCGCCTCCGCCCCGGGTTCACGGCCACGGAAGAACACGCTCCGATGGGATTTAATCGAGGACAAGCACACAATCGAGCCACAAGAACGGGCTGTTCCAAAAACAAACATTCGCGCGGCCACAGAAGAGCCATGGAGGAGGGCTGTGAAGTCGCGAACAAGGGATAATTGACTGCATAGGATCGCAGAAGAAGCTGGCCGTAAGAAACGTCCCGCAGATGGTAGATACATGTTGCCAGAAATGCTGCAGATATCTGGCATACAGAAGGCCCGTGGGCTAGTAGAATGATTGATGAATAAAACATGACGTTCGATATGACACAGCCACCGGCAATGCTGTGGGTACGATGCCCTCCGAGCAGTGCGCAGTGGACACAATGCGACGAACCTGACGCCGGAAGTGACATCATGACGGGTCGCGGCACATGAAGTGATGCAACAGAAAATATTGCAAATATGCGTACTTTCGCGTGAACAAACTTTGCTAAAAAGTGCAATGTTCTTCAACTAAATGGCAGCAAAGCAAGCGGCAAAAACTCTAAAATCCATGTCGACTTCTCCCTTGAGTGCAGACCTGGATCACAAAACGTTCGACAGCTCCAGCTCGACTTCGCTATCACCTGTGCACACCAAACCGTAACTGCCGACTGACCACTGGCCACATGGCAGATGTCTGTACACGTCACGGCTGACGTCATGGCGATTCCAACCGGTCGATCAGCAGTTGTCAGTGCACGGCACTGCACGGAAGACCTCAACTCTCCCTACCCTCCGACCGCGATTCTACCGGACTGGTACAGATCACTGCAGGTCGTGAGCCGCTGAGTCCGACCAGTCCGGACAGAGGCAGTTCAGTGTGCATCGTCCGGAACATGATGGAAAGGGAGGATTCTGGGCGGCAGATGGTGGATGGTGGAAGTGGACACAAAGGATGATATAACGCAATGTTGGATGACAGCGGTAGACGAAGGCGAAGTTGGGTATTGGACGGTAATCTACCCTGCCGGCTGTGTATTGCGGACAACAGAGATGGATGGATGGTGGACGGAGCTGATGGACCGCTGGTAGACGACTGAGAGAGGAGGTGGACGACCCGGACGGCCGGTAAGCCCCATTCCTGGCGCGCCGGCGCTGACCGATCGCCGCTGCTCTCCGCTGCAGGAGATGCAGAGAATGCAGCACCACTCACCAACACAGCGGCCTTGGCTACTGACGGGCCGACACAGAGAGTGGATACAACAGACCACAAAGAACGGCAAACAACCCAGAGCCATACCGCTACCCGCAACCAGAGCCAGGTATACGGCGAGCACAAAAACAGATTACGGCCAGAAATTGGATGAACGGTACCCGAGCTGATTTAATCTGGCCAACTGAAAACAGAAGACAATCCAGCCCGACGACAGACCCCGTGATTGACTTGACCCACTGACAGACGCGGCGGTCCAAAGGTCAACTGCCTGCGTCACGAAGGCCGCCCCTAATGATGACCGGCAGGCGCCCTCCCGAAAAACGGCGAGGTGTCCAAACTGTCAGCAGTGGACGGCATCTAGTTATCCAGGGCCAGAGGTCACAGAGAAAATCACAGGCAGGTGAAAATTAATTTCTGTCCGCCCTGGATTCGGAAAAACGCAGCCACGCACTAGAATAGATGAAAATGCCCTGTGGACATGCCTCATTCAGTTCAGTGAGCAAAAGGCGGCCTACTGTGAAACAGAGAGGTCAAGCCACCAAATCACGTCTGAATTAATGCTGATAATCCCGGGACTTTTTGGCAATCCCGGGATCCCGGGATTTTAGAAATGCAATCCCGGGATATCCCGGGATCCCGGGATTGAGCAGTTTTTATTTTAACCTGTCTACAAAGCAGAATTTTCTTGCAATATCGTATGTATATGGCGCATCCTTACCATCATAAACACAATACCAGGCATACACCTTCACCCCGAACAAATATAAGAGCATTAATGACATTGATCATTGTATTTCTTGTTTATATTTCGAGTCAGGATACAGTAGACGTGCCTACGGATTGAAGTCGTCTGACCAGCAGCATGTCCTGGTCACATTCACTTGTTACGGTAGTAGCACTTGAGGAAGCAAAGTGCATCAACGACTTCGTCGCCGAGACTCGACCGCACTTTTGTGACGATATTCCCGACAGTGGAAAACACTCGTTCCGATTCAACACTCGTAGGAACTATGCCCTTCAGCCAGTTGTAGGACAGCGCTACCATGCCTGTCCTTCCTGAGATAGGTAAATTTTCCAATTCTTTCCTTATGGCCTTCGTCATCATCAGAGAAGATTGCTAAAAGTTAATCCCAGACGGGCATGAACTGGTGCCTTGCTCTGGAGCTCTAACCTCATCTAGAGCTTGTTGAAGCATCGACTGAAGAGACGGCGCTGATTCAGGATCATCAGCGTCCATCACTTCTGTATCTACACCTACTTCGGTATCATGCATCTGTTCTCCCAATCTTTCCATCATGTGGACAACTAAGTCCTGTGCTTCCTTGCGAGAGGCACTAGGAAAAATATCTTTCCAGTCTCTGTCTGCCGACATTTTGTTATGGAGCGATTGTAGGACTTTAGCAGCACGTGACCGTCTCTGTCGGATGCGCTGTTTCAACGCATCAGACAGTTTACATGCAATCGCGTTTACATGCAGTTTACATGCAATTAAATTCAGCAAAATCCGACATTTTGGCAAAGTTAGCTATAGCTTATCACAAAGGCACGTAATTAATAATTATTCACTAACGGTAACCATACCCAGGGCGCCCGGCCAGCCTCATGGATCGTCCAGCCACGGGGCACTGACAGTAACTGAGCCACCAGACGTGCTCCCACAGTCACACAGAGAAGACGGCCGACCTCCTCCCACTCGATGGACTCGAATTCGATAGTCGGCATAGTATGTCATCGTGCAAAATGATCTGTTAAACCGAGTACGCGAGGGACGTCGCGGGGAGCGAGAGATGAGCCGAGAGAGAGCTCGTCTCTCGCCACATTGTGAAGGCTGAGACGGTGTGAAACAATGTCAATTAGGTATATATGTAACCAATACTTGTGCATAACGACTTTGCACGGCGTAAGTAAGATCTTTGGACATAAAACTGCACTGTAATGCGTTGTTACTCACTTACCTTTTTTTACATACCTACTATCAGCTACACTTTATGAACGATGTTTCTGTACGGAAAATATCGGGATCCCGAAATCCCGATGCTTCTAATCCCGGGATTCGGGATTAATACAATCCCGGGATCCCGGGATCCCGATCCCGGGATTATCAGCCCTAGTCTGAATAACACCATCATAAGACTGCACAGTTTTGCGCCTTGATCCTTACAGGTTCATCGGCTCCGCTTCCCAGCCTGTCCCCAGCACCCATTCCATTCCACTATTCCCTCTCGCCGCTTGGGTTTTTACTCAGCACCCGGTCCCAGCTCCGGTGTTGGAGCGGTCTGAAAAACTGGCCCGCACCGCCCGGTCACGTCGCCACTGGTTGACACCGGCAGGGTGAACTGTGAGGTGCGCGGGGCACGCCAGAGTGGGGAGTGAGAGAGGCAGGTTCGGTGACCGAGGTAGTGAGGTTGGCACTCCGTCCCTGCCACCGCCCGACATAGACAGTCATTCCAAGGTCATGAGAACAGCTGAGCAGGTGGGTAAGAAGTAAGAACTGACAGGACCCCGGGGTGGAGCGGAGACGGCGGCGACCTGCACGGCCTGACAAGCCAAGACCCCGAGAGGTCAGCCGGTCAGTCATAAGGAAGATTTTTACGGCACTTCCGGCTGCCGACACTTGGCGACATGACAGGCCTGTCAGGATGCAAATGATTTCCGACCCATCAACAAAACCGAATGACGAAATCGTGCGACACGCGGTTTTGCAAGGAGCGCATGCACCGCCTGGTACCCACGTCATCAATATTGACGAAACGACCACGGCTCCTTTACGAGTGAAGTGATCCCGTCTCTAGCGCGCCTAATCCGGTCCTATACGGAGGATAGAAAAGTGATGTCGCCACTGCAGTCTTCAGACTCTCAGCCAGGTCTATACCAGATGGCATCCATGATCCATATCTCAGAAGCGCCATAGCTCAGACAGGCCAAGAGTGACAAGTTTCATCTTCTGACATAGCTGGTGATTGACCTTTATCGGCATGAGCTCATCCAGTCCATCGGGGAGCCATAACGTCATCCAGTCCAGTGCGAGATTATCGCGTAATCACGCCCATGGCACCTCTGACGTCACAAAGCCCAGCAAGGACAGAGCGACCTCACAAAGCCCAGCAGCGAGGACGGCCGAGACGATTGGACGGCCAGCTCTGAGAAAACGCCGCGACGGCCACCTGCCAGTGACGTCATCAATGACTGTCCAGTTTCGCTGAAAGACGGTTATCAAACACCCAATCATTGACTGGTTTGATGGCGGAATCCTCTGCTAATTCATGGGTAGAATCCCGTTTTGCTCGGCCGGTTGGCTGAAGTCCCACACATGGCTATATCCGTGGACGGGCCGGGACGGCAGCAGTCTCTGAAATGCTGGTCGATCAGTGAGAGGTAGCCGACCGGTGTGGGAGGAATGTAGTCGGGCCGCCGGACCGGCGCCCGGAGAATACTGATGAGGCAGCGAGACGGAGACGGGGACCACGAGACAACGATGGAGACTCAGAGACGGGGATAGAAACAGACCTGGAGAGGAGCGGAGACAGGGATGGGTACGGAGACAGACATGCAGTGTCCCAAAATTGTATTGTGGCTCGGGTGTCAGAGGGGAAATTCCTCTCCAAAAATGGGGATAGGAGTGGAAAATTATTGGCCAAGATGAGACCCAAAAAGAGTGGAAAAAGATCCATAGCATTAATTTTTATACATGCGTGATAACATACGAGATGTACAACGGTCACCCACGCTAATGTTTTTTTCTTCGTAATGTTGGGAGTGGAAAATTGCTCTTAAAAATAGGAGATGAGAGTGTTAAATAGTTTTCATTTGGATGTCGTTTCCCACCCAAATCAACAAATTTTGGGACACTGCAGACATGCATACACACTACACAGGTGGAGACGAAACGAGGAACACAGTAATAGACATGGATATTAGACACCAACGAATAACGACGGACAGAGTACAGACGTTGGGTGGTGGGCGGAGGGCGATGATGGTACACTCTCCTGCCAAGCCGACGTTCCTGACATCATGTCAGCAACGTAGTGCAACATTTCCTGACATATCATGTCAGCAACGTAGTGCAACACTTTATCACTCGAGCAACCAGGGTGTCACCTGGTAAAACCATATAAAAACCTTCACGACTTATAACTAACATACCATTCAAAGGCCAGAATTTTCCTAAAAACTACAACTGGTGCCCCGAATACTGCCACGCATGTTACCATGTTCTAACAACTGCGAGCTGTCATGTTAGACAGATAATCGTGATGAATCAAACAAGCTGATACTAACGCACCAGTCTTTACCTCAGAGCAGTGGTTAAACCCCAGACCGCCGAGAATTGTAACTGTCCCCTCGGACCCACCTGCTGGATTTTCCTGCGGGTGCCCTCACGGCTGTCGTTCGGGTCGTCTGGCAGTGAAGTATTCATCATGTCCAGCTCTCTGGCCTTCTGACGGGCGAACCGGGCGCTGGCCGAGCGCATGAACCCACTACCGCGCGGCACTCGCTCCAGGTCGCGGCCCAGAGAGTGGGTGCCCGCCGGCGGCGGGGTCTCGGGCGCCACGGCCGCTCCGTGACCGGGCAGTGTAGCGGCTCCCGGCGGCGGACCGGCCGGCGAGCCCGGCAGCGGGCCGGGGCTGAGGCGCGGGCCCGGCCCCGCCCCGCCCGGCAGCATTACACCGCCGCTGTAGGCCGCCTGACGCATCTTGTTGGCGTAGCCCTCCTCTGACCAGTAGTCGTTGGCCGGCGGCTGGTAGCGCGCTAGGCTGGACTTGGGTCGTGCGGCCGGCGCCGGCAGCCGTCCAGCACTCGCCGGTCGACCCGCGTTACGTTCCCACTCGAGGAAGTCGGCTGAATGGGGTCGGGGCGGCGCCGCCGTGCCGCGGCCGTACTCGTCCACTGGAGGATAGCCGTGCTCTGGGTACACCCCCGGGTGGCCGTACCCGCCCCGCGGCGCGGCCGGAGGCGGCGTGCACAGTTCACCAGACATCTGCGTGCTCCGGCCGGCACTGGAGGCGTACGACTCGCGCGCGTGCGCCCGCAGTTCACCGGCTCGGCTCCGATCGCGCGAAGAGCCGCTGCCCACACTGGCGTTATACACATCCTCATAGTCCACGCGCGCGTGCGGCGAGGCGGCCGCGTAGGCGTCGGGCGTGCGCCGCTCGACGGGCGGCCGCCGGCCGGGCACCGGGGCGCCGGCGGTCATATCTGCCAGCCGGTCACACGGCTCTGGAGAGGAGCTGGCCTCCCGACTGCCGGTCAGTCGGCGCGGCTTGGGCGGCGCGTTGGCGTACAGAGGCTGACGCGAGTCGCGCCGTCCTCCCACTGACTCGCGGCTGGTGTTGAGGTCGTGCCGCCGAGGGAAGCCGGCCTCACTGCCCTCCAAAGAGCCGACACTGGGCCGGTCCGAGCGCTGGCGACTGGGGTACCTGCCGGAGAAAGGGATACGTCAGAGGATGGGTGAGACACAGTGCAACAGACACAAAAGCAAATAGCGGAACTCTGAAACACTCATGATTTGGTAAAGCTCGGCTTTGTTGTCTGGGGAAGAGGTGGGACAAACGGCTCCAACATGATAACTGCCTGAGTTGAGCAAGCATAACATTTATCCATCGTGCAGCACAAATGCATCCTCTGAATCTGTCACGATGGCCACGCTAGATCAGATACAACACTCCCATGTCTCAGTGAACGGACCGCGGCTATTGTACTGCCAGTCAGAGTGATCCACAGGGAGATCCGTGCGACAGGAGAGACCGAGCGCAACATCGGATAATGTGCGACCACACCTTTTGCATTATACTCGCCATATTATTAATTTGCCCAAATGGAATTCTCGGCTGGAAATACAAAGGCACGATCTGTGCGAATATGGAATATGTCATTCTGGCACGGCGGGCGAGAACCATTCGTCAGACACCGGCTACAGTCCACGATACACGCACTGCAAGTGAAGACTATTCTCGGCCGCCGTCCACCGTTCACCATACACATAGTATACCATATGTCATCCATCGTCCACGTCTACGTTTGCTGTTCAACGTCCATTAGCCATAATTCGCTATCCACCGTCCAACTGTCTACCGCCCGCCGTTTGTCCACCGGCACTATCTAGCGTCCAACATCCACCGCCAGCAGTCCACCATCCCAGCTCACATCCGCTCGGTATACCGGCGCACCTCTCTGCTGATTGCTCTCGGCGGGTCCACCGTCAAGGCCGTCTCCATGAGCGCGGACCACCATCACGGCACTGCCCGCCCGGGCCCAGCCGCCCCAGCCCAGCCGCCGCTGCCGCTGTCCCGGGGGCGCAGTTACTGCACCAGAGATCGGCCGGTGCCGCCGAGCCGTCAACACAGCCGCCCACGGGACATGGCGGGTGGGGGAGGGGGCGGAGGGGAGGTTACATCCGGCTGTACCGCCCAGGGTGTTAGGTCAGAGTGCGAGGTCAGCCGGATCACGGTGTGAGAGACAGGCCGGTGGCATGCCGCCGGATGCGGTGGCGTGGTGCAGTGTAGTTGCGACTTGTTGACAATGCACAGAGCTGGGTTGAGTTAAATATTTGTACTACATGGACAATGGACCTCGAGCAATATGGTTTATGTTGCCAGTCCGTTATGAAGTGAAGATAACTGCTGTGCGATGCGGACCGAGTGCACAAACAAGCTGCCATGAAACATAAATCTCTGGCAGCGTATGGTCGGCAGGCTCTCCTCCCCCCCCCCCCCCACCCCCCTCGAGTCTCTTTTGCAGACTGCTGGCCGCTGTTCCTGGTTTCTGTCACATTGTCATGAGCGCAGGAGAGGGCGGTGACCGGTACGGCCGTGTGCAGACGTCCAGCCCCGGTCACAGCACTCGCCGGCTCGTGCAGCAGCTCAGCTCCCGGGCCGGGAGGACGCTCCCATCGGCTCCCACACCGACAAAGCCTAGGGCCGGGCCGGTACTCAGCAATGCGGCCGCTTAGTGCTGTGAGCTCCATCCTCAGTCGTCCTGTCAATACTCCGACGCGCCTGACAGGATCAGCCGGAGAGGCCAACGACCATGTTCTGATCCAACACGATATTTCTTGCGGTACGCTTCCTCCTTGGTCTCTGTAGCCCCCACTTGCAACTCTGCAGACAGTCTGCCGGCCGTCACCGCCACAGCCGCCGCCCTCCTTTATAGCCAGCCGCCCTTTACTTGAGGCTCCTCTAATTGCCGTAGTACGGGCACCGCACATTGCAAACAAACCCACTGGCAGAACCCCGCAGCAAGCTGGACAATCCAGCCCTAGCGGGCGTTGGCTATAAGCTGTACACGACAATGGATACCGGATGTTGTCTTGCATAATAATCCCAGTGGACCCTTCGTCCCTTTCAGTCTTGTCACCCCTCCCTCCTGTTACGTCCGGGATCCGCAATGGCCGGTACGGGTAAATCCGTCCCTCCCGTTCCATTCTGTCCCGTTCCGTGCGATCCCGGTCTATAACGTCCCATCCCTTGTCATTTTTGCCCCGTTCCGACCGTTCCGTCATGTCGGTCCGTCCCGTCCGTTCCGTAAGTTCCGTCCATTCCGTACGTTCCATCCTTTCAGTCCGTCCCGTAGCATCCCGTCCGTCCCATACCTATCCGTCCCTTTCCTTCCATTCCACTCCACCCCATTCCATACCACCCACACTCACGTTCCTGTGCCGTCCGGCCGTTGTCTGCACTGCACACCGTGCACCGCACTCTGCACTGCCCGTGCACCACCCACACCGTCCGGCCTCTCTCTAACCACTGTGTGCTCCGACTGGCCTCTGCAGACCGGCCAGGTACCGCCGCCGCCGCCGCCACCGCCGCTGCTGCTGCTGAGACGGCCAGGCCGTGACTCAGGCGGCGGCGGCCGAGCGGCGGGCTGACTCAGGCCGGGCCGGCCCCTCACGTGCGCCGCGCCGCTCCCACGCCGCGACCACGCACGATGACAGCGGGTGCGCCGGCCGTCATCGGAGGTCCGGTCGTGACCGGTGGCTCCCGGCCTCTCCCCCTGCTCCCCACCCCTCTCTCCCCTCAGCCTAAAGCGCCGGTATATCGAGCTGACTACACTACAGCAGCCGTGACCACGCCGCCGAAGTGGATCGGCCCGAGAGACTGCAATATCGAACAGATAACAACCACCAGCCGAGCCCGGGTGTTGACGGTTGATCGCTGACGGCACGACGCAGACTCACGGGCGTGCCGTGAGCAACGGAGTCCCGCAGTGCCCCCAATGACCCCACCTGGCGTGCTCCCACCGCCGGCAGACACAGTGGCACGACTGGATCCACGCTACTGTCGCAACTGGCGGCAATTAGGTGCACCTTTCTCCGGGGGCGGTGGAGGCGGTGACCCTAGCGTGGGGCCGGCGACCTGAGGTGCCATTTGGACGGGGTGGGGTGGCTCGAGCTGCCTCATTGAGAGAGGTGGAGTGGAATGCAGAAGCAGTAGCTTGTAGACTCAACAGTAATCGTCCACACTGTGGACGCATCCAACGCCCTCACTTTGCCACTCACTGACAGGGACACATTGGGACGGCTCGCCGGGATAGAGACGACTCAAGTTTTCTCACCAGGGAAGGTTGTTGTGGAGATGACAGAACAAACAGTCGCTCCCATACTCACCGCTAATCGTCTCCACACTTCAGACACAGCCAACACCCTCACTCTACCACTGACAGAAGACACAGAAACCAGCGAGACGGTCTTTCACACCCCGTCTCTGTCCACCGCACCACGCCACACCTCTCCCCCGCCGCACCGATCGCCCGTCCACCTGCACCCGCTCCGTCTCAGTCTCCGTCTCCACTGACCGGCCGGCCCCGGCACGCGGCCCTGTTTCCGCGGAGTCTCTGCTGCAGCGGCGGCGGCGCCGGACGGGGAGGGAGGGGGACCGGCCGGCGGCGCGACTCATCGCACGGGAACCTGTTCAGTGCGGCGGCCGGCCGGCCGCCCCCTCCCCTGCCCCGGCGGTGGCGCCGTCACGGTCACAGGGGGGGGGGGGGGTCTACAGGTGTGGGGAGGGGTCAGAGAGGGACGGTGGGAGGGACAGGGGGCTGGCAGGGCTCTGTATAGAAAGGGCAGGAAGATTGACTCCCCGAGCGGCGATCGGGTCTGTTCAGGGCGGAGAAAGGAAGGGATTTCCAAGCGTTTAGGTAAAGAATGGCTGGATTTTACTGGTACTCTCAATCAGCTCATCCACACCTGACGGAGAAAGGGCCTTCGAACTGTGTGGTAGCCGTTTGGTGGCCGTGGCAGAGGCAGACCCATTGACGGTCCTAGGAGGCGTCTGTCCGTGGAGTCAGGCGCTAAACCTGGTCCGAGTGGGCACTGAGCACTGGGCAGTGGCTATCAAATGCCGGAGGCAGCTATCAAAGGTCGGGGAAGTGGCTACCAAAGGTCGGCGCAATGGCTATCAAAGGTCGGGCCGTCAGCAGCACGGCTCATCACCCCGTGAACTTGTCAGGCATTTATTATTCAGGCCGCCCCGGCTACCGCCCGCAGTTGAAGCGTGCTGACCGACACTATCCCGTGGAATGGCCGCCAACTAGCGAGAGCCCGGTGGCATTTCGTCAGGATGTTCCTGCAAACCTTTGCACCGTGTCGGTTCGTCAGGCTATGTCTGAGGACCTTAACACCGCGTTGGTCTCGCTACATTATACATCTGTCTGTCTCCCGGGCCATGTGGAGCTGAGCTGCAGCCGACCCCCAGAGGTCAGAGGGCCCGAGCGAGGCCACAGAGCTAAGAGAGGCGCCGACCCTCGCCGCTCTGTATACCGGGAGTTCCACCTACAGTATCCGGCTCATTACCGGTAATTATGGCAATTACGCCGCGAACAATATACACTGGTCCGGTCGCGGCTAATTTTATCAGTATGGCGACTCCTTCACACGATATCCCTCTGCTCTTCCTTGCTCCTTTCCCTTTATTCTATCCTCCTCTCCTGCGTCTTCTCTATCTCTCTCTCTCTCTCTCTCTCTCTCTCTCTCTCTCTCTCTCTCTCTCTCTCTCTCTCTCTCTCTCTCTCTCGCTCTCGCTCTCGCTCTCGCTCTCGCTCTCGCTCTCGCTCTCGCTCTGGCTCTGGCTCTGGCTCCGGCTCCGGCTCCGGCTCCGGCTCCGGCTCCGGCTCCGGCTCCGGCTCCGGCTCCGGCTCCGGCTCCGGCTCCGGCTCCGGCTCCGGCTCCGGCTCCGGCTCCGGCTCCGGCTCCGGCTCCGGCTCCGGCTCCGGCTCCGGCTCCGGCTCCGGCTCCGGCTCCGGCTCCGGCTCCGGCTCCGGCTCCGGCTCCGGCTCCGGCTCCGGCTCCGGCTCCGGCTCCGGCTCCGGCTCTCTCTCTCTCTCTCTCTCTCTCTCTCTCTCTCTCTCTCTCTCTCTCTCTCTCTCTCTCTCTCTCTCTCTCTCTCTCTCTCTCTCTCTCTCTCTCTCTCTCTCTCCTTACCTCCTCTCTACCGAATCAAGGCGCCAAGCGAAAGAGCTGTAAGTTGCAACTCTCGCAATACCGCCCCAGTTTCAATAATGCACACTGAGGACATCCACTAGGAGCAGTTCATATCACCCATGAGTCATGATTAAAACATTTCACACCACCAGAACGCCTCATACCGCCCAAAGGTCAGACAGTCGTGACATATCCGGAGTCGTTTCCCGAGTCCATCTGTCATGAAGGCCTCACTGAGTACCACTTCACCCGGCCGTATTATCGCTGCAGCTGGCGAGCGGATGACCCCTGACCTCTGACCCAGGCCGGCCCGCAGCTGACCTTTGACGGAGCTGCCAGCACCCAGGGTGTTCACGGAATGGCGGCGCCGGATACGGTGGTCACATGCCGACGGGTGGGTCAGTTCCCGGGTCTGTCGGAGCCAGGCACCGCAGTATAGAGACTGCATGGATACAGCGGTCACCGCCCAAAGAGATCTAACAAAGCCGGGCTGCCGCTGGGCGCTGGAGCCAGGACCGACGCAACACGGCGGAATTGCCACGGAATGGCGACCAGTACTGGCGCACGATGGGCTACAGAACCTTACCATGAACGGCGGATACTGCACTGCATAAGGCGACCAGCAGTCCAGCTCCTGTCTGCCAATAGTCCGCCAATTGTCGGCCATCCGTCGAAATCCGTCCACTCAGTTGGTCGCTTGTAGGTCAGCCGTCGGTCTAACGCTATAGTCAGCCGTCGATCACAGGTTTGTATCATAGCCGCTAAGTTTTCCAATCTCGGAAAGTCACGGTCATTCAATGACGACAAAAACTCGGAAAACTCGGGGAAAGTCATCCGAGACACGTGGAAAGTCGGCCACTGGCGCAGGCCACCACGCTACCAAACTATACCGGCGCGGCGGTCACAAACGGGCGCTGACTGCTGACTCATCGGCGACCATCGTGTGAGCCGGAATTTCTGCAGGCCAGTCTGTGATACAGATCGCTGACATGGGTCTTCAAGTCGCAACGGTGTCAGCGAATCACTATTGAATATGAAGAACTACTGGCTATGCCTAATATGGCAGTCAGTCTTGCAGCGACTGACACCCCTGTTTACGAATGAACTGAGCGTCTGTCAGCCGGCCTTCACGTTGATCGTTTTCCTCTCAACATAGCCAGCATCGCTCGACGATTGCGTGTAGCGTGCACCATGTTTACACCCCTAAAAATACCTTCAGGCCGATCTGGCACACAAACTGAATTCAGCCCACTACTCGTGGGGCGGCAGCACCCAACACCGCAGCGAGCTCCCCACCTACGGCCGATGAAAGTGGACCGGCGAGCCGTGCCGGCCGTCCCTGTTCGATATGCAGGGTCGGCGCCACTCACAGACGGCCTTGTCGCCGACAAACAGACCGACCGATCGGCCCGGCGCCGGCGCGGTCAGTCACGCTACTGCCGGCCCGGCGCCGGCGGGTGATGTCACTGGATCGATGACGTCACTGGAACGACCAGCACACGTCGTCCCCAACCCGGACCGAGGACCGGAAGGCGCCGGCTGCGTGTTATTATTAGTCGGCAGAAGGTGTCAGTGTCAGGAGCTCCAGCACACGTGCTGGAGACACGCGACTGCCTTACAAGGAACTCACTCATTTAGGGAGCCGACAACGCATGGCGCCATAGCGAACATCAAAAAGGCGAAAAACGGCATCACGCCTCATCGGCAGCCGTATTAATTAGACCGAATTTTCCACATAAAAACATGAATGCATGATGTATGCTTTTATCTCTGACATAATGTATGTTGATGTCCATATCATATTACCGGTGACGGATGCCCAACCAGGAAAATGCGGTCCTTAGCTCCACCAATCTACAAATACCAACCTGGCCGGCCGTTGGGCGGGTATTCTGACAGCCTACCCATCAGAAAAAAACGTCTCGTCGACACATTTTCCAGCAGCGTTTCTTGTGAGCCAGCGCGCTGCCGTAGCTATGTAAGAAAGTAGGTACACGCTTATGGAATGTCCTATGTCCGGGCGTGTGTCCATTTTCCACTGGAAGCATATCCGAAGAGGGCGTGGGCATCGTAAAGCAGCACGGCGCACTTACCCCGGATCCTTCTGCATGATGCTGGCCAGACTGATGGCGTTCATCCACTCGGTCATCTTCTCCTTGGTGTCGCAGGCGAAGTAGTAGGTGCGCATGTTGGCGTGCTCGATACGGAAGGAGAACTTGCGGTGCACCCTGTCCTCGGCCGAGACCGGACAGACGCGGTAGGAGGGCAGCGTGATAGAGCCGAGCAGCTTGTCCTCGCGGGCGTCTGCGAAAACAGAGACAGGCAGGCAAGCGGTCAGAACCATGCGGCGGTACAATGGAATTAGATCACACATGCAGCACATGACTGGCGTCGTAGACTGGAACACAGGGGTAAGCACAGATGCAGGACTATAAATACTTAGACGAACGGTTGAAAGTCAGGATATGTGTAGAAAATTACAAGCATGTCTTTCTGACGGGAATGCCGCCTGTGACAGCGGACGCCCTTTATCAATCCTGAGGTCCTTTGGCTGCCCCGTGCTCCGTTATCCTGTGGTCCCGTGTGGTAGTACCTGCTCCCATGGCCCTCTGATCCCGTGGCCCTCCCGTGGTCCGTGCGCAGCGAGCCGGCCCGGCGCCCAGCTGACGGGGGCACGGGTCGGCAGAACTCACCAACTCCGCAAACAATGGACTGATCACCTGGCCCAAGAGAGGGGCACAGGTAGAGGGACCGTCGGGACAGAGAGAGGGGCGGAGAGAGGCGGGGTGGGCGGAGGACGCCCGCCGCGCCGGCTCTATACGGACCAGTAGCGCCGCCCAGCGGCAGTCGTCTGCACTACGCCTCCAGAGCCACAAGTCACCGCCAGCGCCGCATCGCCGAAGTAGCAGCGTGATCGCCAGAAGGAAGACGATGGCGAACGCTACCATGTGCAAAAAAGAAACAGATGCTGGTGCGACCACTAACGTAGGTATTTGATTAGGGGATACGTGGGCTCTCAGCAACCCACAGGCACAGAGGGCCTTCAAAGGAAAGTCAGAAAAAGATAAGACGTCCTTCACGTATCGCAGCCTCACGACGCCATGGACCCCATGATGCGTAGGACAGAGAGACAATGAACACCTCGACTGTTCGAGCCACTCTCCGAACTGCTGACATGAATGCTGATTAGGCCCTCTCATTGGTCCGATCGCCAGTCACGTGATCGGCTTCTACGTGGATTACAGTCCGAAGTAATCGACGCCATTACCGTGTGATGAGGCGGGATGACAGCACCTGCGCACACACAAAGCCTCCCGAATCTGTCGTGCACATTCATACACACTGCCACCAGGTTTCAGGACGTGAGTTACACTCCCTGTGAGTGCGCTCCACTCTCCAGGCGTTTGAAGGCGTGTGCCAATGTCCCGAACAGCGCCGATCGCCGCGCCCGTCCGCGTGGGCAGACTGAATGGGAACCGGATCCAGGCCCCCCCCCCCCGAGCGTATGGTAATATGTCCAACAGAGGAGCGACATGCACGGCCACCGCTCTGATAGGTGTATTCTGTCTGCGTATACACGGCGCAGTGAGGGGAGTTCATTTACATACCGGTTACTGCTAGTCCGATACGGCTCGAACGGGCGGGATGTGTGCACCGGCGATACTGGCAGCGAGCAAAGCAGTTCACGGAACGGAGTTAGCCCAAGTAGATGGTATATAAATATCACATGACCTAGGGGTTGTCCTTATAAAAGTGTTAGCATTACCATCTGTAGCCCCGATAAGTGTCTTCACACGGTGTAACACCCTGAGTTATCGGCTGTATTGCGCGGCAGCTCCTTCACAATGATCGCCCAGACCTCTTCAGGGTTTATAAATAGCTATCGGCGATCACCTTGCTGTCTGGACGCCGCATCGACCACAGTCGGCTAGCTAGCTCCGAACGAGACAGGACACTCGATACCGATACCGACTAACGAGCGGTCGATGCAGCTCCGACAGAGGCGCACTGGAGCTACACTCCACCCGCGGCTGGGAGACAATCAAATCACCGGCTGATGCGTCCGTACTTCCCACAGACGAAACTTTGCAACCGAGTTGGAGAAATAAAGGAAAACATGCCAAAGTTTCAAAGGGTTTCGATCAGTGGAAATAGTGTGTCGAAGAAGAGAAAATTGTCTGCTTTGATATTGTGCAGGTGCGGATGGCCTGTTCTTCCATTTCCTGTTACTTGTCAGTAATTTCAACATCGACCTTCGCTATGCTGCTTTACTCAGAAATGTATGGGTGTTCGGTGACAGGCAATCCACTCGTAATAGCTGCATCCGCATGCCAGCACATTTATCGCGGGAGAAAACCACTCTGCCAAATTCTAAGGCCGCCTTTTTTTAAGAGTCCGTGACCGATCTGTGTCAGCCTACGCTAGGTCGTGGGTCGAACGAGTGCAACATGGAGGCGAGTCCATGCTGCCCTGATCAACACTGTTATATTTCTCCAATTAGCGGAAAAAAACTGGCTGAAAAAGGACCAGATGCCCAGACCGACAGTGGATGCTGCCATCAATGAGATCTAACACATTACCGTCTTTTTCGGCACAGTAATGAACACGTGGCGGCGAAATTTAATTGCGACAGATGTAGGCCATGGATCGACTAGGTGTTCGCTTTAGCCCGGACCAGTCTGACCTATTCCGTGATACCATTTAATGATCATTCCGTGACCGATGACAATGTGTCCCAGATTGTGACCGCAAATATCATGCAAATGTCGCCCGGAGAATAAATTCAGCCGAAATGGAATAGCGACTGACGTAATGCCAGCACGATGCTCAATACGACGCACTGTTACAATTACCAGAACTACGAAACCATTGGATTTCCCCGCATTTCTTCTATATGTTTAGCACAAAATGATTCACCGCAGTATGACAGCCCGTCCTATTGTCTCATTTTTCACAGTATTGTAACAAGCATGACCACAACCTGCACATCATTGCACGCTGTACAAGTCAGTGCAGCAGTACCTACAGCGGGCAGTAGCCAGTCTACACTGTAGTAGAGTAATATTGAGTCCACCAACCTTTATAATAGTAGAGGCAGTACTCTGAGAGGACGAACCAGCGCGTCTTCCAGAGTCGCAGCCGCTCCGAGCCCTGCTTGTCCAGCCATCCCCGCAGTGTGACGGGCGCCTCGGGGGAGCGGCGGGCCTGCGGGCCGCGCAGGGTGCCCCGCTGGAACATAGTGGAGAGCGTCAGAGGGCAGCGGGCAACAGACAACGGGTAGGGGTAGAGGTCAGCGAGCAGCGGGCAACGGTCAGCGGGAAAGGGGCAACCAGCGGCGTATTTAGAAAATCGCGAAGGGGGGGCCAAGGGTTTGGAGGGCGCCACCTCACCCAAGGAGGGCGCCATACAGTCGCGAGATAAAAAATCGCTCAGCGGGGTGGGGGTGGGTGGGGGGGGGGGGGGTTGGGAGGCGTTTTTTACCATGCCACCAGTTTTTTTTTTTTTGCGTAACCTCGTATAGGTCGTGCTGCATTGATTTTGCATCGTGTGTATTCTTTATACTCCAGGTCACAAAAGGTCAAGTGTTCTTGAAATGCTGCGCCGAAGGCGCGCGAAATTTTTGAAAACAACCTTTTCCTCCGCTTTTTAGGCACGCCTTTTATACGATCACCGTTCAAAGCTCCTCTCGCTCTTTTACCAAATTTGAAGGTGTAAAAAATACCAAAGGTTTGGTCGGGCCGCTGCCACACAAACTGTATAGAAAGCTTGGCTCATGGGTGTCGATGTATAAAAGTTTATTGGCGGTGGCATATCTACGCACCAGATCACCGTATCGGATTGATACCGGAGCGCGAGATGCGTAAACATCATCCAAATTACCTCAGACCAGCCTTCATAGCCTTCTCACAGATGCATACAGTGTACCCACATAACCAGTTTCAATCACCGAAACTTCAGATGCCTGCTGTTGCGGCCGAACCTGTTGACAATACTTAATCGTAATCCATATAGATGCCATGATGCACGTAAAGTAGGATCAATCCGTTAAGACCAAAGACGTGTTTTATGCATCGTAGAGCGTAGATAGTTTTGGTAGGTATAGGTACTTCATTCATTGTGCTGAATGCACGTTCATTTGTGGCAGTTTTCACAGGCGGCAAGACATCAACTATGTGCAATAGAACGACTAAGTTGAAAAACATGCCAAAGGAGTAAATAAATGATAAGAGGGCAGCGATCAACGGATGTTGCCAATAGGTAGAAGGGCTGCGATCCACAGGAGGGCGCTAATAGGTAGGAGAGCCCCGATCAACATCCCGAGTTTCGATAGTAGGGCACCGATAGGTAGGAAGTTGGCGAGCAGCAGGAGGGCGCCAATGGATAGAAGGGCAGCGATCAACAGGAGGGCACCAATAGGTAGGAGGGCCCCGATCAACAATCAACAGGAGGGCGCCACCAGGTAAGAGGGTGGCGAGGAACAGGAGAGCACCAATAGGAGGGTGGCGATCAACAAGAGGTCGCCAATAGGTGGGAGGGCGGTCATCAACTGGAAGTCGTTAATGAGCGGAAGGGTGACGATTAAAATGGGGGTGGCAATGGTGAGGAGGGCGCCTTTGCTCAAGAGGATGACACGAACAGGAGGGCGTCTGTGCGGAGGGCGCTGGTCAACAGGAAGGTACCAGTGGATAGGAGGGCGGTGATCAACAGGAGGGTGCCAGTGGTTAGGAGGGCGGCGATCAACACGAGGGCGCCAATAAGAGAAGGGCCCCGATTAACATTCAACAGGAAGGACTAGGGAACCAATAGGTAGGAGGGCGGCACTGAACAATAGGGTGCCAAAAAGGAGAAAGGCGGCCTTGAAAATTTCACATGAGGGCGCAATAGGTAGGAGAGCGCCAATAATTATGAGGACGCCTATCAGCAGAAGGGCGGCAATTTGTAGCAGGGTGGCGACCTACAGGAGGGCGCCTTCGGGTGAGAGGGCGCTTATTTACGGGACAGCGGCTTACATAGGCGACCACCGTTACGCTTAGAGAGCTACAGCCTACAAATGTGGTTGGAGGGCGCCCGAGGGAGCCCTCCAACCGTATTTGGAGGGCGTATTTGGAATGGGCGTCCTCCGAGGGCGCCCTCCATCCGTATTTTCCCTGTAAACACATTCGCGATTGGAGGGCGCCCTCCAGTCGCGATTGTTTTTCGATTCGATTATATCACAATTGCATTTGCGATTGGAGGGCGCCTTCGGCGCCCTCCAATCGCAAAGGGCGCCTTCGGCGCCCAAGGGGGGGGGCCATGGCCCAGTGGCCCCCCCCCTGCCTACGCCCCTGGGGGCAACAGTCAGCAAGCAGCGAACATGGGACAGCGGACGTGAGCCACAGCATTGGCAGATTCTATCTTTAAAGATTCTATCTTCATATCCCGCTGAAACACATTGGAGAGCGTCAGAGGGCAGCGGACAGCGGGCAGCGGGGCACACAGCTGTCAGCTGTCAGCGAGCATTGGACAACGGTCATGGTAAAGGAAGAATTCATTTTAACATGACTTGTCTCGGGATCTCCGTTATGACTTGAGTCTTGGGAGCTCCGTTACAATATCGATGTTCCCGTCTGATCTCTCTGTCCTTCCGGATACTCGTGAGTTGATGACAGAAACCTCAGTTGGTTCGTGAACAACATGACACCTTCCAGGACCAGAACAAGTGTCAATATCTAACGGCTGTCTAACGGGAGATGGCAGGTATGTGATGCTCACTGGTCGCTAATCACGGCACATAACCTCCGTTCCCAGCGTGGGAGGAGGAACGGCGACCGATGGTGGGCGGGAGCTAACTTTGTTCATCGGCACGGTGCCGGCGCGGCAGAACAGATCAGCTATTGATCCGTCCCTGTGGCACCTGCCGCCGCCTCCTCCAGTGCCGCAGATTCCGAGCACGCACGGCGGCGAGCGGTGAGCGTCGTGGCTCAGGTGTAACCGCCGGCTCTAAACCACTTCATAATGCAAAGGTGGTCTCAGCGCGGCCTGTGGCCGGCTAGCAGGCACTCCTAAGGGAACACTATTAAAAATATGCGGTTCACCGTCCGCATTTGTAATTTGTATGTTCAGGTGTTTCCGTAGAGGTTTGTCAAAAGATGACAACTGTCTGTGAAAGCTCAGTGTACAAATTACGAGTCACTACATTTATGAGCCATTAGTCTATGAGAACTATGCGTACGAGTCATTACATGAGGATTGCTGTCTGGTGCATACCCAAGCCCGACACTCGTCAAAAACTGAATGGTATTTTAAACATGTAGCGGGATTAACGGCAATCAACGTCCGTTTCAAGACATGTTCTTGAATACACGTTTATCAGTTTGACAAGCTAAACCACCATCAAATATAATTACGTCTTCAATAAAATCGAATCATTAAGTGGTAAAGTCATGCAAATCCTCAAAAAATAATCTAAAAATGACTCATTATAAGTCCAACAAGCGCTGCTAACGTTATCGACCTTTTACCGAATACTGGTCCAATGAAAGGCAGAAAGCTTAGTAGCTGAGTGACAGTTCGTTACAGAAGGAGCCCCTCCCACCAGTATGGGCCGACGCGCCGGAATGCGCCGATTGTTTGTTCGGCGGGGTTTCGGCACTAACCTTCTTGGCCTCCATGGTGCCGGCCGTTATCTTTGCGGGATCATGCGGCGCTCTGAAACAGACGGAGACAAAGATCAGATCGGAGATACGATCGGCGGGCAGCTCCTAATTACTGTCATGTCAACACAAACACTCGGGGAGCCGCCTATCTGATGCTCGCTGTCTGCCAGCGGCACGGGGTCTCACTATTTGTTTTCGCCGAGACTGGAGCTGGTTACGACGCCAGGCGGCTTTCTTTTCAGATTTTTCCCCGTCCGCGTGCCGCTGGGCCCGCACCGCCTTTGAAGTGAACAGGATTTCCTCAGTGGGCTACGAAGGCCGCGAGCCTGCATGGTGTCCCAGGTAAGGACAAAGCAGCGTTTGTTCGAATCACCAGCCAGCTCTATTATTCATTGTTGGGTTTTGTGATTAATCAATAAAGAAGGTGGAAACTTTTGGCATGGGCAGGGGTCGTTCATCTAATGAAACTAGTTAGAGCAGCACGCAAACCACAAAAGCGGTTTCACATAAATCGCAGAAGTTTTTGACGGCTATGTCACAGATAGAAATATGCGCCATTGTAACAAAGTCTGGGAGGTCAATGTGATCTTATCGTCAGAGGACACGTGTATCCTACAATGGTGGCCTATAGGTGTCCTTCCTGTCCTTCTCGAGTGTCCTTCAGTGACTACATGATGCCCCGCTCACCGCTGCCCCTTGTGCTGCCTGTAACCGAGTTGTTCCCCTGCGAACGTGTTGTCATGTTGTGACCACAGCTTTATGTGAGGATTTCCCAGTGACTGCGCTGCCCCCCGTGTGACCGTGTTGTCCTCCTCTGTCCGTAATATCCTGCCCGTACCGAGGTATTTGCGTTCGTTCCGGTCGGACCGGCGCCGCGGGCGGGTCGGCCTGTCCGGCTGACCAATAAACCCCGGCTGGAATGCGGGCGCACCTCGCCGCGATGACGCGGCATGGCAGAGGGGCCGCCCGGTGTCACCTCTGCCGGCCGGGTCGGGGTCACGGTCAGCAACATTGGGCTGCTGCGGGCCACCGAGCCTGCCAGGGCCAGGGCCACCCGGGCTGCCGCTGATGCTGGGGAAGCCAGAGATGCCAAAGAACAGAGGGCCGGGGCTGCTCTTCATGCTGCCAAAGCTTCTGTTGAGGCAGCCATGGGATGCCATCGATCACGACAAGGCCCAGTCACGGGGCGGGTCCGGCTCGTGAGTTGTTGACCGTGAGCTGAGGTCAGATCGACTGCAGATTTCGGCCGGGGTCAGCCCGCCGGTATGGCAGGTATGCAGCCTATGTATCCGGTCACAGGGTTCGGGGTCGGCCGGGGCAGACTCCACCGCCGTGCACAGTGACCACCGCGTGCACAGAATGATTGCCGCCGCGTGCACAGACACCGGGCGGAGGACGCCATTTGGTCGGGAGCACGCCACCCGCCCGTTTGATTTATTCCCGTCCGTACACCGTAAATCTCCGCAGTGACGGGAAGGCCACTCGGGAGAACGGTAATCGCTTTGTTCATTTGCTGCGTCTTGCACACTGGTCACGCACTATCACGAGCACGTTCACAGGATAATTTGTGCGTAAATCACGGCGGACAGCTGTGTGGACGTGAGTCAGGAAACGTTTACAACAGTAGGGAGGCTGCTCCCGAGCTGTGGGGAGTCTGACGCACCAGCAGAGAGGTAACGTCTGTTATACATGCAGTATGAGTATGTGCTATGTCATGTGTGTCGAGTAGCATGCTGAGCAGTCCCTCTGGTATGCACGCACAACGGTGTGTCATACCATAAGTCGTTCATCGTCTGACGCGCACAGTCATGTGCCGCGTGCCAAACCATATACCCCACCACCTACATCTATGTGTCGTGTACCACCTGAGTACCTGTCTGTGAGTACCCCGCGTGCTCAGACAATCGGCGTCGACCCGTCTTCTGGTTCACCCGGTCGCTGATTAACGTGAGAGAGTTCCCACCTGTGGCGTCGGCCGGTGACGGTTTAACGCACCATTCCGCGGTAAATCACCGATTGTCCGAGAGTCGAACGGCTCGGAGAGGAGCCTGGGCATGTGGAGAAGTGACTGCATGGCGCCTCGGTCAGGCCGAGACCCAGCTCAGACTATCCAGAATCGCAATGGAGGCAACGAACACTTTGCAAATACCGACCTATCGTAGGTATGCATTATGTAAAATGTCCGTTGTTGATTTTTTTCTGATGCGCGTATTCTGCATTGTTCCTCACACAATACTGCGGTAGAGCCGATTTCATTTTTAAGTGGCCCAGATTACTGGTCCAGCAGAAAGCAGTAGGTACAAACATGCCACCGAACATTTCCTTATAACCTGGAGGTCTTGGTAAAATCTAACGGCGGCTGCAGCTTAGCGAGCACGCACTGTATACAGACACAGTTTACGGGAGTGATGTGGGTCCAGTGGCAGCTGAACTGAGATAGATTATAATCTGACCACACCACATACCTACTGCAGTGTGCCGCTCTTCGGGTAGAGTTCAATGACATGAACAAGAAAAGTTTCCCGAGCAATGTTCCGCATCGAAGCTCCATCGCAGTGATTGCCGTGGGCGGTCGAAATAAACATCCACTATACAAGACGACAGCTTCATTATCAGACCTGAACACTGCCTTACATCGAATGTGATAGCTAATGCCTTGCCACAAATAGCCAGCAAAGCGCTCTGAATTATTTAGACAGCCAATTAGCCTGGAATCGGCTCCAAAACGTTTCCTCCATGGCCGCGGACGGCATGCTGACCAGGGGGCCTCAAATTAGCCACAACGGTGCCGGGGCGGACAGCGGGGGCCCTACCGCGATCGAAACGGTGTCAGACAGGTTCAGGACGCGAGCATCCAAGATCAGAGCGGGACCAGACGGGACCAGGATCAGCAGGATCGGAATGGGACCGAATGGGATCAGACAGGATAACACGGGATAGGAGCGGAACCAGGCGGGATCACACACCGATCAGCAGGATCAGAGTAGAACCGACTAGGATCAGCTTGGATCACATCGGTATCATCCACGATCAGAGCGACCGATCGCCGTCCGACAGCCGATGGCCGCCGCCCGGTGAGCCGAGGAATGCTCATTACGGCCGGATCGCAGCGGGTCCCGGGGATGCGGAACGGGACGGGCGCATACCGACCGCGGCACGCCAATAGAGCAGATGCAGGTCGGAGTACGAGTCGAATGGTGATCGATGAGCTGTGGATAAATGCTGGGGACAAACGCACAGGAAAGGAAGTGAGGACAGGAAGGAACGATGGGTGGGACGAGAGCGGAATCAAGTCGGCACCCATAGGGGTCAACTGACGTCAGAGATTATTCAGTTTCAGTTCAACACGGGCACGTGCCGCTGCGCCCTGCCCCAGATTCCTCGGAGGATTGTGTGGCTAGCAGGTGGCGTCTCCAGCATCCCGGGTCCTTCAGGCAGACTTCCCACCGTGCCGCGGCCGCCCGGAACCTCCTCAGTTTCTGCGACGCGTGACCTCCCCGCCCCACATCCCGCCGCCATGCCGACGGTGTTGTCAGAGGCAAGGTAAGTGCCCTAGGCGGCTGAGACCGAGGTGTCCGAATCCCATAGGTCGCCACCGGTCACGGTTTAACGCCGGTGATCTGGCGAGAGGCGGCTGACCGCCCACGGACCACCCAGGCTGGGGAGGAATGTCCGACCTCCGGCCTCCTCCGCATGAGCTGGACGGGTCGGCCCTGCTCTGATACAATTCCAGCAGTACCGACTCCAGCCCAGTCCTTTCCGGACCGGACCTACCATGACTCAGTCCAGCTAGTCAGACTCCATGACAACTCAACCTGCCCCAACTCAAACACCTTTTCTGGACCAATCAGACTCTAACACCATCCATCCCCATCACCCGTCTCTTTTCCAGCCATCCTCGGCCACCCAGCGCTGCCGTCTCACAATGAGTCAGGCTCAGCCTCCGTCCGTTCGTGATCGTCCGCCCGCTACGGCCGTTTAGCATCACAATATCTCATCACGGCCCCGTCGAGAAAGGCGGCATCGGACCGCCTCTGAACCGGGCCGAAACGGCGGACGGCGGAGGACCGGAGCCACGTCATCGCTCAACCAGTCACGGGGGTACGCAGTGAGCGGATCAGCGCCAAACTGCGAGCAGGCCGGCTTCTCAGAGGGAGCGAGACAACGTCTCAATGCTACCTCTGTGTTAATGTCAGAGTGATGTGATACAAAGTCGACCGCTTGCATCGTCTCTGGTCCAGGTAGCCGTCAGTTTTGCAGGCGGTAATTGATGACTACGTCGAAGCTTTCCTTCAAACAGCCGGGGCACCGACCGCGCCGCGACCCTGTGGAGGCCGCCGGTCGGACGTCGCAGCGACCTCCAGTCCCAGTTTGGGTGTTTGGCGAGTTGCCTCTCCTCCATAGGGGCCGGTCAGGGGCCCCCAATCAGCCCGTCCAGCGGCGGTGGTCGCGGGTGGAGCTCCGCCGAGACGGCTGTAGATAGGCCGCGCTGGTTCTTGTTCACCCGGAAAACCCGTAAACGAGTGGGAAGCAGTTACCGAGACTGACAGGCCGGCCGATTGGCGGCGGCCGGGCCAATCTGCACGACCGATAAAATGGGGCGGCGTGCAGCCCGATCGGACCGAGGCCGGCTGGGCTCGGTAGCTGGACGGCACTGGGTTCCGTGCACCGCTTATACGGTAATAATGCGGGCATTCAGAGCAGATTGTGGTCAACTCCTGTAATCGTCATCCAATATCCGTTACAAAAAGGCGATTTAGGACCGTAATGTGTGCAATTAGAGTATCACGAGCCATGGCAAAGAACTGCAACAGGTCTGTAATAAATACACGGTACAAGTCAATCCCACATCAAAGCCAATCATGTCCAAATAATGGCCTGCGTTGCTATGTTCAATGTTGCTCTAGCATGTCGGCAGACCAGGAGCCCCTTGATGATTGATTCCGTTCAGAGCTGCAAGATGTTCCACATTAGCTGACTCGGACTGGGTTTCCCGATTTTTGGAGGTGCGTGTTTGATGACACAAACGCGTGGAGAGTAACGGCCGGCAGT